CCACATGATCATATCAATAGATGCAGAAAAGCATTTGATAAAATCAAGCACCAATTAATGCTAAAAACGCTCAGCAAAGTGAGGATCCAGAGAACATACCTCAAGGTAATAAAGACCATATATGACAAACCCATAGCCAACATTATATTCAATGGGCAAAAACTACTAGCATTCCCTTAAAATCAGGAAGAAAAGAGAGATATCTGTTTTCACAACTCTAATTCAACGGCAATCAGACAAGAAGACGTGAATGGCATCCAAACTGGAAAGGAAGAAGTAAGACTGTCTTTATTTGCAGATGACATGATACTGTACATAGAAAACCCCCAAAGATTTCACCAAGAAATTACTAGAACTGATAAATGAATTCAGCAAAGTAGCAAGATACAAAATTAATATCCAGAAACTAGCTGCATTTTTATATGCCAATAATGAACTGACAGAAAGAGAAATTAAGAAAACAATCCCATTCATAATTGCTTTGAAAAGAATAAAAAATCTGGGAATAAATTTAACCAAAGATGTAAAACACCTGTACACAGAAAATTATAAAACACTGAAGAAAAAAAAACAACCTGAAGAAGATACAAATAAATGAAAACGTATACCATGTTCTTTGATAGGAAGAATTAATATCATTAAAATGTTCATACTATCCAAAGCAATCTATACATTCAATGCAATTCTAATCAAGATACCAATGACATATTTCACAGAACTAGAACGAATATTTCAAAAACATATACGGAACCACAAAGATCCCAAGTAGCAACAGCTATCTTGAAAAAGAAGAACAAATTTACAGGAATATTTTATTAGGTAAAAAAACCTGCTACCTAATATGAAACTATACTATGAGACCCTAGTAATCAAAACAGCATGGTACTGGAATAAAAAGAAACAATGGAACAGAATAGAGAGCTCATAAGTAAACCCATGTCTTTATAGTCAATTAATATTGGACAGAAGACGCAAAAATGAACTAAAGATAGCTTATCTAATAATAGTGTTGAGAAAATTGGACAGATGCTTGTAGGAAAATGAAATGAGACCACCTTTCCACGCCACACATAAGAATAAATTTAAAATGGATTAAAGACTTAAATGTTAGAACTGAAACCATAAAAATCCTAGAAGAAATCACAGGCAGTAAAATATTGGACATATCTCCTAGCAATATTTTTTTCTGATATATCTCCTCAGGCAACAGAAACAAAGGAAAAAACAAACAAATCAGACTACATCAAACTAAAAACTTTGCACAGCAAAGAAATCCAACAAAAAAAAGAAAGACAACCCACTGAATGGGAGAACATACTCACCAATACATCTGATAAGGGGTTAATACTCAAAATTTATAAAGAAGTTATAGAACTCAGCACCAAAAAAACCAACAATCCAATTAAAAAGTGGGCAAAGGACCTCAACAGACACTTCTCCAAAGAGGATATACTGATGGCTAACAGACATACAAAAAGAGGCTCAAAGTCACTAATCATCAGAGAAATGCAAATTAAAACCACAATGAGGTATCTCACCTCATACCTCTCAGAGTGGCTATCATCAATAAATCAACAAACAAAAAGTGCTGGTGAAGATGTGGAGAACCCTTCTGCAATGTTGGTGGGAATGCAGGCTGGTGCAGCCACTGTGGAAAGCAGTATAGAATTCCCTCAAAAATTAAAAATGAAAAAAAAAATTGAAAATGAACCACTGTATTTCCACTTCTGGGAATTCATCAGAAGAAACTCAAAACACTAATTGGAAAGAAAATGTGCAGCCCTTTGTTCATTGCAGCATTATTTGCAATAATCAGGATTTGGAAGCAGCCCAAGTGTCCATCAGTAGATAAATGAATAAAACAGCTATGGTACACTTACATAATGGATACTACTCAGCCATAAATAAGAAAATTTTACCTTCTGCGACAGGATGGATGGACCTGGATAACATTATGCTAAGTGAAATAAGCCAGGCAAAAAAAAGACAAGTACCATATGATTTCACAAATATATGGATTTAATGAAGAGACTGAACTAACAAGCAAAATAGAGAGAGACTCTATTATAGATAGAGAGCAGGCTGACAGTTCTGAGTGGGTGAGTTGGGGAGTGTGGAGGGATTGAGCGAAAAAGTAAAAAGTACTCACGGACATAGACAATAGTGTAGTGTGGGTGAGGGTGGGGAGTTGGTGGAAGTGGAGAGGGTATGGGGGGGATAAATGGTAAAGGAAAAAATACAATAAAAATGAAGTATAAATAAATAAAACAATATGAAAAAAATTAATGTTCCTTTTTGTTAACAATAACAAATGTTTTATAACTTTCTTATAGCTGGTATTACACTATAATACTGAATATGCTTTTAAAAGCTATGCATGTATCTATACCCATTCTCATACACTCTGATGGAAAAAAATTACTAAACATTCAAATAATGCATTGTAGTAGGTTATAGTCTACCTTTCATTTTTTGTAAACAAAAATCTTAACGTTAAAGAGTCTTTAAAGTGGACGTTATGGCTTTATATCCTAACAAGGGTTTCAGAACACAACATATTCATATTTTATTAGTTAAAAAAATAATGTTAAATCTAAAAATATGATATTTGGAACCTATCATCTCTACTGCCAGGTAAAGGTATAGATCCAATGTCACTAATATAAACTAGAGAAAGGTCAGAGATTTGATACTAGTAAAGTGCCAGCTTTGATTGATCTAAGAGATAGATTTTCCTTTTGCCTCAGAAATTGTGGTCTGATGCAGTGTAACAAGAGTGACTCCTGTAGTGGAACTTAAGAAAAATGATTATAGTACAGAAATGTGGACTCACTACTTCAAAGAAATTAGAGATTATACCCTGCTGGGGTCTGAAAAGGCACAACCAGAGAATTAAACGAAGTACTAGCTCCTTAAAGACAGGAATTTATCTATTTGGTTCATTGGGAGTAGGTATCTCAGGCATGAGGAGGTATTTTAAAAACATCTGTTGTTAAAAGAAGACAAATCTTAGATAATTGTGGCAGAATACTGCCATGGTTAGGTACTAACACACTTCCATAGCTTTCTCCCTTTTCCATCCCAACAGAAAAGCTTTACTGCCCACTAGAACAATTCAAACAATATATATTCACTGTGATAATTCAAAACAATTTTATAAAGAAGAAAATTAGGAAAGAAACACTTTACTCCTATTATCAAAAAATAATGACTGTTAAAGTATTTAACCAATCTTCATTTTTGAACATCTGTTTCCAACCTTGTCCTATCTTAAAAAATAGAGAGAAACATTACTGCAAATACATCTTCGGGGACTTAACCTTTCTTACCAAGCTTTTTTTCAGAAAGGTTATATCTCTTTATAGCTTATGGAAAGTGAGATCTTTCTTGTCCTCATTGTGATTAAAAACATACATAGGAGTGGGAGTTGTATATAGAAGCCTGGCCCACAAAAAAAGCACGGTCAGGGTTACAAGAGAAGTGCACGAATGAACAAAGACAAAGACAATGACAATGAAAACCTATAGTATTTTACTTCTGCATTTCCACTCAGCTTCAGAAAACTACATGCATTCACATGTAAGAGTAGAAAAGATAATAAAAGAGGACAAAAAAAGCAGACTTTTATCTTTGTCTCAATTAACAGACAAAAGAAAAATACATCTTTTGGATAATCTGACAATTTTGTCTCCACTTATCTGACCTGTCCTGTTCTTTAGTTTACATTTCTCCTAAAGTATAACCAGAGGCTGTAAAATGAAAGCCTGACTGGATGCAACTGAACTTTTGACCTGCTTTACTTAATCTATATAGTGCAGCAATTTTTAAAATTTGAATGCTTTTAGAAGGGGCATGTGCACTCCATGTCATAAGAGTCCCTATGATTTTACCTTCTTAAATTTCAGCATTTTGTTCACTGAGGATGCCTGTGTGGCCCCGGAGGCATTTGCCCCATCTCATATAAAATAACTATGTAATTAAAATATCATAAACCAGTGGTTCAAAAAAATAAATAACAAATAAAAACAAAAGAATAGTGGTTCAAGCAAATCTTAAAGAGCTTATTTCTTCCTAAACTCATATCAACTGTTAATTAACTGCTCCTTAACTTAGGCTTTATTTTATTTTCAGAGAATAGTCACATTTTTCCCTACGTTACAGGTAGTTCAAGACCCAAAACCCTTTGCCTTATTAGCATTCCTAGTAACCTGCAGCGACACAGCATGTTGGTTAATTAAGAGTAAGGCTCCTTCATCAGGCTGCCTGCGTTCAACACTTGGACCAATTAATTACTAGCTGTGTGACCTCAAGTACGCTAACCTCTCTGTGTCTCAGTTACTTCATCTGTAAAATGTCAATACCACCAGTACTTATTTCATAGGGTAGGTATGAAGATTAAATGTGTCACTACTTATGAGACACTTAGAACAGTGCCTGCCACAAACTATACATAATATGTGTACAATATATGTGTGTACTGTAATGCTGTAGAATACAGTATATATGATATGCTTCAATAAAAAAAGGTTTAAAAAATATAGGGAAGCATTCACTTTGCATGGCAGCATGAAACCATAAAAATATCTGTGAAAGTTGAAATTATGCAAAGCAGCCTTAATAATCAATGGGAAAAATTACTATTGGTTCACAATCTTTATATTTTTTTGTCAAAACATTAAAATCTTAATTTAAAAAATTTTAAAAGGCAAAATTTTTATTTTAAAGTAAAATAAAATTTTTAAAAAGTAAAAATTTTATTTATTAAGTATGCCATAATTTAAAACATTAGAAACACTGAAAAATGAAGCATTTTATTTTTTTAAAAAACTTATTCAAGAGTAGCTTGAATGGTAAAACTTAGGATATACAGTGAACATCTTTTCTATGCTTGGAAAATTGTCATATTCCTTACTAAGTCTGGATAACTCAAGCACCTGACAGAAAGGTCTATTTTACAGAAAAGAATAAAGATATAACATAATGAAGACAGACAGACTTACATTGTATTGATGATTGGCAACAGGTCTGTAATTGGTTGTCACAGCTTTGTCCAGTTGTTGTGATAGCCTTACAGGTTTAGAAGATTCTTCTATTTGCAATCTGAAAAACAGAAGAGACTATTAACAAATTCACTTGTTTGTTAGAGTGAAACCTGAAGAGTTATTACCATAGTTCTTTTCATTCAAGAATACTTAATATATAAAATGTAACCTCAGAAGATACACCAATCTTAATATAATACTTCAAAAACACCCTGAATTATATTACAATGTAGGAACCCGCCATAAGCTAAACATACACTCTCATTACAATTCTACAACCTACTTCTAACCCTGTGCTGTATAGTCAAACCTCTACTAAAACCAAGAAACTAATCTTTAAATTTCTGAAAAAATCTGCATGTAAAAATGAATTATCTTAAATCATATGGTATAAAACTAACCAAGATATTAATTCAAAACTTCTATTCACTTGGTATGAGATAAGGGTAAAAAAAATGATAGTATACTGTCACTCAGGATCTAATGTTGGCTTTATTAGACAGTGTAGATATAGAACATTCCCATCATCAAAGTAACTTCTATTGGGCAGCACTGGTCTATTGTAGGACACCATCTATATTAAAATATAATTCAAATACCATTTTTTAAGTCAATATTCAGAAATCAAAGGCATTTTTGTACACCAGCAATGAAATAGCAGAAATCAGAAAAAAAAAAAACCCATTTGATATAGCAACAAGAAAAATAAAGTACCTAGGAATAAATTTAACCAAGGAGGTAAAAGACCTGTACGCAGAAAACTATATAACATTGAAGAAAGAAATTAAGACAGACAGAAATAAATGGAAGCATATACCGTGCTCATGGATTGGAAGAATTAATATCCTCAAAATGTCCATACTACCCAAAGCAATTTATAGATTCAATGCAATCCCTATTAAGATACCAATGACGTATTTCACAGAAATAGAACAGACATTTCAAAAATGTATACGGAACCATAAATGACCCCGAATAGCCGCAGCAATTTTGAGAAAGAAACACAAAGTAGGAGGGATCACAATACCGGACATCAAACTCTACTACAAAGCCACTATACTCAAAACAATCTGGTACTGGCACAAGAACAGACGCAGAGACCAGTGGAACAGAACAGAAAGCCAAGAAATAAGCCCAGGTCTATATGGGCAACTAACACTTGACAAAGGGGGCAGAAGCATAAAGTGGAGCAATAATAGCCTCTTCAACAAATGGTGTTGGGAGAGCTGGATGGCTACATGCAAAAAACTGAAATTGGATCATTACTGACACCACACACAAAAATAAACTCAAGATGGATAAAAGACTTAAATATAAGTCGCAATACCATAAAAGTTCTAGAGGAGAACATTGGCAGGAAACTCTCAGATATCCCATGCAGCAATTTTCTCACCGATATGTCTCCTAAAGCAAGGCACAGAAAGGAAAGAATAAACAAGTGGGACCTCATCAAAATAAGAAGCTTCTGCACAGCTAAAGAAACTTCAGCAAAATGAAAAGGGAGCCAACCATATGGGAAAATGTATTTGCTAATGATACATCAGATAGAGGTTTGATCTCCAAGATATATAAAGAACTCACTCGACTCCACTCCAGGAAGACAAATGATCCAATCAAAAAATGGGCAAAGGACCTGGGCAGACGCTTTTCCAAGGAGGAGATACAGAGGGCCCAGAGACATCTGAAAGGATGCTCCGCATCACTAGCCATCAGAGAAATGCAGATCAAAACCACAAGGAGATACCACCTCACGCCAGCCAGAATGGTCATCATAAACAGATCCACAAACAACAGGTGCTGGCGAGGCTGTGGAGAAAAGGGAACCCTAGTCCACTGTTGGTGGGAATGCAGACTGGTGCAGCCACTGTGGAAAGCAGTGTGGAATTTCCTCAAAAAGCTGAAAATGGAACTGCCTTATGATCTAGTGATTCCCCTGCTGGGGCTATACCCTAAGAACACCAAAAGGCCAATTCAAAAGAACCTATGCACCCCAATGTTCATAGCAGCACAATTTACAATAGCCAAGTGTTGGAAGCAACCTAAATGCCCATCAGTAGATGATTGGATCAAAAAGTGATGGTACATATACACAATGGAATACTATGCAGCAGAAAGAAAAAAAGAATGAATAAACTTCGCGACAGTATGGATGGAACTGGAGAGCATTATGGTAAGTGAAATAGGCCAGGGGGCAAAAGACAAATACCATATGATCTCACCTATAAGCGGAACCTAACCAACAATACAAAGATGCAAGGAAAATAAGACCAGCAACACTGAAAGAAAAAAGAAACCAACAGAGACAAGAGGGAAGGAGTGGGGCGGGGTGGGGGGGTGCGGGAAGGAGGGGAAGGGTCAAGTCAAGGAACATATAGCAAGGACTCATGGACAAAGCCAAATTTGGGAAGGATGGGGGGGGGCAGGGTAAAGTGGTGGGGGGCAGGTGGAGACACATTTGAAAAAAATATATAAATAAAAATAAAAAATAAAAAGAATGGGAAAAAAATGTCAGAAGCAATAACAGGCATCAAAAGTGACAAGAGTAAAAACTGTTTTGAATATTGGAAAAGTCTCAATGGGTGTATTGCATCAAATGGAGAGTACTTTGAAGGTGAATGAAGTTTATTTTTTTAATTGTGTTAGTATTTCCCCTCCACCTATGTCCCTTCCTTCCTTTCATTGTTATTCTATTACAGTTGTCCCAATTTTCCCCTATTGCTCTCCCTGCCCCACACACCCTACTCATGTTCTCATAGTCAATCCCTACCCTGTTATCCATGTCCATGGGTCATTTATACTTGTTATTTAACTGGGCTCTTCCCCTTCTTTCCTCCCTTATCCCTCTTCTCCTTCCACTTGGGTCCCTATTAGTCTGTTCCTTGTTTCCATGCCTCTGGTTCTATTTTGCTGATTTATGTGTTTTGTTGATTAGTGGATCATATGGTATTTTATCTCGCTTATAGGTGAGATCATATGTTATTTGTCTTTTACTGCTTAGCATAATCCTCTCCAGTTCCATCCACGTTGTCATGGAAGGTAGGAGTTCTTTCTTTCTTTTTGTATAGTATTCCATTGTGTAAATCTACCACAGTTTTTTGCTCCACTCATTTGTTGATGGGCACTTAGGCTGTTTCCAGCACATGGCTCTTGTAAATAACATTTCTGTGAACATTGGGGTGCACAGGTCTCTTTTGGACTGGTATTTCAGGATTCTTAGGGTATAATTCCAGCAGTGGAATTGCTGTGTCAAAAGGCAGTTCCATTTTTAGTTTTTTGAGGAAATTCCATACTGTTTTCCACAGTGGCTGCACCAGTATGAAGGTGACTAAACTTTAAGCATGTAAGAATAAATACATGATTTGTTATAAATAAATTCTGGTTTGGGGGGTCCCTCTCATATATGTACCTGTATGTACACTGCAACGTTATTTACAGTAGCCAAAATATATAAACAGCCTAAATGTTCACTGACAGATGAAAGGATAAAGAAACAGATATACAATATTACACACACACACACACACACACACACACACACACACACACATAGTGGTATATGTACACAATGGACTGGTACTCAGCCATAAAAGAAACAGGATATTGCCATTTGCAACAATATGGATTAATCTTGAGTATATTATGCTACGTAAGTAAGTCAGATGGAAAAGGAAAAAAACCATATGACTTCACTCATATGGAAATATTTTTAAAATGAACAAACAAAATAAAAAAAAAACAAAATCAGAGTTATATAGAACAGATCGGTGGTTACTACTGGAGGAAGCCAAAATGGATAAAGGCAGTCAAATATATGTTGACATATGGAAACTAGACTTTTGGTGGTGAGCACACTATAGTGTATACAGACATTGAATTACAATGTTGTACTCCTGAAACTTATTTAATATTATTAACCAATGCTATAATACTTCAATAATAAATAAATGTTTTAAGTGTTTAAAAATATTTAAAATTTCATTAAAACTCTCAATATTTATTGATAGTAAATACAAATGTTTCTTTATGCTTCTAAAAGACAAAAAAACCAAAAAACCCCATTTTTAAAAATCCTTACCTGAGAACATGTGTCATTGATTTTAGAGAGAGGAAGATAGAGAGACATCGATGTGAGACAGAAACATCGTGGTTGCCCCCCACACGTGCTTAGACTTAAGATCGTACATGCCCGGATTGTGGATTGAACCTGCAACTTTTCAGCTACGGAGCAATGCTCCAACTAACTGAGCCACACCAGCCTGTCTCAAAATACCACTTTTGAAAAAAAAGCCAAAAATAAACATAAGACACTAGTACAGCATATTACAAAATGTAACACTTGACCAGTACATATATACTCAAGTAGCAATCTTACATAATTTTGCTTTGGATTAAATGTTACCATATTTAATGACTCACACTTTACCATTTATGTCTTATTTTTAAATCAGACTAATTCTTTTGGTATTTCAGCATAGTAAACCTAAAAAACGTTTTAAGGGTGAAAAAAGAAGTTTTTCAAAGTGAATATTTTTTAAAAAGCAGAATCAAGATGGTGGAGGAGTGAGTGGAAGTCTCACTGACCTCCTCCCAGGACCAACCTGGAATTGCAACTAAATTGTGGAGAAATCACCTGGAACAAACAACTGAACAATAGCGAGAGAGGAGCCTTGTAACCTTGGAGACAGAAAAAACGGCTTTAGCACGACCTAACTGGTAAGGAGTGCGGTACAAACCTGAGAAGGCAGGCAGGGTGCCCATGGGGGCAGCACAAGAAGGGTATTGAAATGGCCAGTTGGATCCTGCTGAGAAGAGCTGGATCTAAACAAAAAGCAGGGATCTCTAATCTATATCAACAGAGCCCAAAAAGTACACAGAAAACAGCCAGCTGCAAAAAGCAGCAGGGTTGCTCTCTGCCAGAGACAGGCAGCCGGAGATTGAAAGAACTGTTTAAAGGGCCAACGCATAAATTTTTATTTGCAGCCACTTAACCTGGTCTCTGGCAAAGGCAAGGGCAGAGTGGGCTGAAGCCACCTGAGTAGAGACTGGGGAAGGAGACTT